ACACACACACACACACTTCTGTCGGTCCCTCCCCTACTTACTGTTTTGACAGAGGGAGAAGCTTCTATCAGCAGGGTGATTTCACTCTGAAGCTATGGCTCATCAGAGGAGGAATAGAATTAGGAGGAGGAGGAAGAGGAGAAGGCAGGAGGCATGAGATGGGAGCGATGAATGGCCCTGATGGCACTCTGAGAAGGCAGAGAGGAGGCTGAGGATGACTAAGAGCCAGAGCGGTGAGGGGAGCTCCTGCCTCGGACTGTGATGCCGACGCAGCCGCTACCATCACTCAGATCACTGTGCTGCCGAAACCGAGCCACCCGTCATCCCAGTCAGCGTTCGCCTGCATCAGGAGGCAGAAGACAGAGCTGCTGCTGCTGCTGTGAAAAAGGAGCTGTGTGATTCCAATGACAGCCTCTCTCTCTTTGCCTATCTGCCTCTTTTTGTCTCTCTACCCCCCCTTCTCTGTCACACTCTCTCTTCCTCCGTCCCTGTCTCCCTGCCCCTGCGCCCTCGCTGTGTCCTCGCTGACTGCCGGATGAAGGGAAGCTGATGCCAGAGTTTATCGTGGGGCTCAGGTTCCTGCCAGCACCACTCGACTGCTCTGCTCAGCTCTGCGGAGGAGGGGCTTGGTGTTTTAAAGGCACAGTGAATCGCACAGTCCCTCCTCTGCCTCGCTCCTCTCCCCGTCTCCTCTCTGCTGGCGCCTACACTCCCTCACTATCTCCCCCTCGCACTGCCTATCTCGCCTTTGTCACAGTTCTATCGAGGGTGTTATCTCTCTCTTAAATCAAGAAGGAGTCTTCCTCTGCCGCCAGGCAAGCGGTCTCTCGGGACGAGATGTCCAAAATTTCCTCGGCTGTTACATCATTAATATACAAAGCAGGTTGGTGCTTGATGACCTCATCTGACTGAGAGACAGAAATAGGGAGGGAGGGCCAGCATGACTTTTTCTCTCCTCCGTCCTCTTCATCAGGTTTTTTTTTAAACATTTTTCTCTACAAGAAAGAGCCCTGCAGAAGCCCACCATCAGAGGCGATTACCCTCATATGAAATACGTTTTCTGAAGGAGATAATTTATCAGTAAATCAAATTCATTATGACAACTTCTTGAGCGACGCACTTCAGTTTCCAGAGGGTTTTGACAGATAAGTGTAGTGAGCAGCCAAAGGCTCGTTGCATTCCTTAGCATAATTGTAAAGAAAAATGCAGAGTGGATTCCAGTGAGGAAATTTGAATTGGTTCTGGGGTCCTCTGTGGTTTCTGCTACCAGGATCACAGATGTTATGCTGATGCTGTAAAGCTAATTGGGGGAATATTCTGCTGTATAATAAATTCTCTTTTGCATGTTTTCTTTGATTAATAAATGAACGAGTTTGGCTTCTTAAAAAGAAAATAATAAAGAGATGCCTCATATTTCATGTTATCCTTCTCTAAGTACACAGTCACACTGAGTTATCTTAGTGCTGCATCAATTTCTTGATGTGTCACATCCTGAAGTACTCTGTGGCCCTTTATGGAAGTTGACAACTGCAATGGAATCCTGTGCCTATTCCTCGCATTTCCACACGGCTGCTGCAGCATTACACAGACAAGTTGCCTCTCACAAACCGCTGGCTGCAAGAAACAGGTGTCCTTGAGCATGTTTCCTTTGTGCTTCACTTTCCTTAGGTCTCTCTGCAGTCACTCTCCCATCTTAGAACACAGCAACAGTTTGCAGCACTTTTTTTCCCCTCTATCATTTTCTATTTTTTCTTGACATTGCAAAAACCCTTTTCGCTTGGATATTCATGGCACATTTAATGGAGCTGTCCCTAAAAGAGAGAAGGTATACTAAATGACCTCTCAGAGGAAAAGGCCCAGGTGCACTGCATAGATAGCTCCGTGTCAGTGATGCCTTCATTGGTAGGGAATTGGATTATTTTCCCCTGTAAAATATATTTTTTTAGTGCTAAGGTCATCTCGACTCGTGAGTTTTACTGGGCGTCTGGAGTGGGTCCAGCAAAATATTGGTTCCACTTAATATTTCTGCCTTGGATTTATTGTGCCATGCCATTTATGGAGACATTTTATAGAACGTAATGTTTTTTTTCCCCTAGTTGGGCACAGGCTCACAAACAAGCCCATAGATGCATAAACACACTAATGCACAAATGCACACACACACACACACACACACAAAAGACACAACAAGTACACATGAATAAACAGCAGGCAGGGCATTTCGATCCAAAGGAAAATATATCGGTAATTTGGTACCATAAGAATAAAGCCTTGGAGAGATTTCATTCGGCTTGCATTGTTTACCTCCCAATAAGCTATCATCCTCCCACTTATGTGATACAGCGAGGATCAGGAGTCCTTTTTATTATTGTTCTTTTTTGGCTACGTTCCCCACAGTTTCTGGGTTCATACAGGATGTACTCTGGATTTATTTTTTATAATAAAGCGAAGAGAAGCGAGCAACAGCGATCAATACGCAAGCTCTGTGTTCGCCCGTGTCCATACAGCATCCATACAGTATGTATGATTACATCAGACCTGAGCTGTGGAGCATGTTGGCTTATTTATGAGCTGGCTCACCCATGTGCCAATTTAAAGAATAATTGAAAAGGTTGAGCTGTAGATAGCAATAATATATTGAAGTATATAATATAATAGATATAAAATACATTATGTCTCGTCCAAAAGGGAGAATCAACAATATTCATTGTTTTTTTTAGATGTTTACAAAGGTGTAGGATGATAAAAAAAAGTTTGACCAGAGGTGCCACACTTATAGAATTGACTGAAATCAATCTACAGCGTCTTGATAACATATTTTTGTAATATCATTTCTCAGAAATGTTATTGTCATGGAAAAACCCATTGAGATGTAGAATCTCATTTTTAAGGAGGGCCCAAAACAAAATTTAGCGTTTAAATGCTTAAAACCTTAAAGGAAAATTCTGGCATTTAGGGATTCTGCAGAAAATCCCCCCAAAATAATAATTTCTCATAAAAATATGGAAAAAGAAGGGAGTAACTACAATGCAGGGAAATATTGTGGATGTAGTTACTGTGCACAAAACATCTAACATTTGTTAAGACATAAAGAAGCTCTTTGACCATTTGAATAATTCTCTAAATATACAGCAGGTGTACACACACACACACACACACACACAGAAACCTCCTGTCTTTAACTTTTGTTCTTTTGTGCTTAAAACAAAACAATGTTCATCAGCTGACCAACAATCCAATGCCTCTTTCATTCACTGTAGTGATGTGTTGCACCTAAAGTTATGCAGGCAGCCAACAGAATATAATAGCTGAAATTCCACATTGTCTTGTTCCAAGATTTTTTCTTTTCTTCAAATGTCAAACCAATATCTTCAGAATATATTGAGATATTTTGCAATTGAACAGACTGAGAAGCCTTAATTTGTGGTATTATCACTTAAACTAATCTGCATCCTTTGTGCTCTTCCTCTCCTGGCCATTGCGTGGCACTGTGGTGTAGTTGTGACATTGCTTTTTGCTCTGCTCTGCCTCAGTTTTAAAATGGTGGATGGACATACGGATAAAGTTGCATGGTGCTGCTGTTTGACTGAGACACTGAAATATTTAGTGCTACAAGGGAAAGCTACTGTGTGAAGAAATCACATGGTAACATGGTGCAGCATCAAAGAGGCATTAATCGCACTTTTTAATGCAGACTCAACACATATCCATGAATAAATAATAGGAGATACTTGGCAGTCAGTTTGTGTCGGGCATCATTTATTTAAAAGTAAGTATAGTCAAATGATTTCCACTGATAAAATAAACACTCACAAAGAGGCTTTAATTTTTTTCCTCATACAAACTCTGGCTTCATATTTCTGTAGTTGAATTATTTGTTTCATGACGACTGAGACTGAATGACAATTTGTGAACCAGAGGAATTTAAAGGCATATCTGGCATCGACAAACAAAACAAACGAAATCAGACGCGGCGCTGTGTTTTCCAATTGTGCCCTTGATTTCACACACAGACAAACACTAAGGGACAGAGACCTCAGAGACCACAGTCTGTCCTACAACAACACCAGTCTCTCCTCCTGCCTGTCGACTGACCTTTTGATATTTCAGTCTGTGTCCTGTGTGTGCATTTGTGTGTGTTCCTTCTTTTTTTTTTTCAGCAGTCGTGCAGCATGCAGAAGAGCAGGGGTTGTCTCAGACCATAACACTGTGATGGATCAGTGCTCTTACACAATGAAATGACGCTCAAGTGTTTGATTGATTTCTCATTTACTTTCCTCACCAGTGGTGGAAATATGCACCGTGCATTGTGCCAGGACCCTGGCGAGTGAGAGAGAGGGCCTGTGGCCTCATTCTGAAGATTGGCCCTGTA